GATTTGCCTTGCGCCAGAGACTTTTAAAGATTGTTTGAAAATTCTTTTTTTAGTGAACAAAAAATAACACATTATCTCAAACTCACATCCACACATTTAAACTTGCATCAACTAATTTCATCATCATCATCATCATATTGTCATCGTCAAAATTGTCATTATCTGCTATCATCTTACATCATCATCAACATCATCATCATCATCATCATCAACAATACATTATCTATCATCCACAAAAACATATTATCATTTTCTCACATACGTCACAGGGTGATCCCGTTGTTGCTAGGGAAAATATTTAACACCATCTTGCACGGGGTAGGGAAAGACAGCTGACACACGCTATGATGTCATAATAATGGATTGTTGACGTGCCGTCATTTTATTGTTTCCGTGATGTAATACAATTGTTGTGTACGGGAAAACATCCGTCTCAACCTATGGCTTTGGGGTTTGCTGGAAGAATAAGATCGATGTTTATTTCGACTGAAATTGGTTTATTTGTATGTATGCGAGAAAATAATCAAAATTGGGTCTGTTCCATAGACAAGGATATCTCAACCCCATAAGGGCTGGACAGCCAAACTCTTACACTCGGGTTGAGATATCCCTGTCCGCGGATCAGACCCATAAAAGATTATATTAATCCTCATCACATTCTCATTCCAATCAGATGAACGCATGCGCAGGCACTTTCATCGTTTAATGGCATATTAGATGAACGCATTCGCAGACGCTTTCATCGATTTACAACAAAATTTAGTAGTTTTTAGCTCACCTGGTCCGACGGACAATGATGAGCTTATGCCATACCATAGCGTCCGTCGTCCGTCAACTTTACACTACTTGTCATGAACCACTGAGCGGATTTTAACAAAATTTAGGCTGAAGTATCCTTGAGTGGAGGCGAACTAATTTTGTATAAACCGTGGGTCTGGCCCCCCAGGGGCCTGAGGGGCGGGGCCCAATAGGGGAAACATAGCAAATTGTTCTTTAAAATCCTTCTTCTGTAGGAATGAAAGTATTTGGTGTGGAGCATCCTTGGGTAAAGCGAAACCAAATTTGTATAAACCATGGGTCTGGCCCCCCAGGGGCCTGAGGGGCGGGGCCTTATAGGGGAAACATAGCAAATTATTCTTTAAAATCATTCTTCTTCTGTAGGAATGAAAGTATTTGGTGTGGAGCATCCTTGGGTAAAGCGAAACCAAATTTGTATAAACCATGGGTCTGGCCCCCCAGGGGCCTGAGGGGCGGGGCCTTATAGGGGAAACATAGCAAATTATTCTTTAAAATCATTCTTCTTCTGTAGGAATGAAAGTATTTGGTGTGGAGCATCCTTGGGTAAAGCGAAACCAAATTTGTATAAACCATGGGTCTGGCCCCCCAGGGGCCTGAGGGGCGGGGCCCAATAGGGGGAAATATAGCTAATTCTTCAAAATTCTTCTTCCGTAGGAATGAAAGGATTTGTTCCATATTTGGTCTGAAGCATCCTTGGGTTAAAGGGATCCAATTTTGTATAAACCGTGGGTCTGGCCCCCAAGGGGCATGAGGGGCGGGCCCAAACATAGCAAATTATTATTTAAAATCTTTCTTCTTCTGTAGGAATGAAAGGATCTGGTCCATATTTTGTCGGAAGCATCATTGGGTAAAGGGAAACCAATTTTGTATAAAAGGTGGGTGTGGCCTTCCTGGGACCTGAGGGGCGGGGCCCAATAGGGGAAATAGAGGTAAAACCTTTATAATCCTTCTTCTACCATAGGGATTAAGGGATTTTATCCTTATTCTGTCTGGAGCATCCTTGGGCAAAAGGGACTCAATTTCGTATAAACAGCGAGTGTGGCCTCCCTGAGGCAGAACACTGGGGCCCAATAGGGGTAAAGATTCAAAATCCGTTATCTTCTGTAGGAATGACAGAATTTGGTATGAAGCATCCTTGGGCCAAGGGGACTCAATTTTGTATAAGCAGTGGGTGTGGGCTTCCAGGGGGCAGACGGGCTAGGCCCAATAGGAGAAATAGAGGTAAAACCTTTAAAATCCTTCTTTGACCTCGGGATTAAGGGATTTTATCGTTATTTAGTCTGGAGCATGCTTGGACCAATGGGACTCAATTATGTATAATTGATGGGTATGACCCCTAGGGGTGGGGCTCTGTTTGAAGTTTGTTCTCGCTATATATCTCAAGTACTGGATGGATCTTTCTGAAATTTCATATGACAGCACCTACCATGGAGTGCTATATCTTTACTTCATACCAATTATTTTAAACATATTCAGGTGAGCGATACAGGCCCTCTGGGCCTCTTGTTTCATTCTCACATCACACACACTCGTACATACATCCAGACAGAGAATTTGACTAGTACATCTAAAAATATAACAAGAGGCCCAATGGGCCTGCATCGCTGACCTGGTATTAATCTCAAATTTGTAACCTTAAAAGTCAACTAAAATAAAGCTACTGGCAAAGTATCAGTATTTATGACTAAGTCATTCAAAAGAACCTGTTAAAAGATTTAAAAACATTTAACCCCTGTAACCTTGAAAGGTCATTATGTTGGACAAACTTTATAGCCTTCATCTCAGCATGCAACTTACAAAATATCACCACCCTAGACCTTTTGTTTATTGAGATTAGGTCATTTAAATGTTTATACATACTTGACTAAATGTGACCTTGAAAGTGGGTCAAGGCCATTCAAATGAAAAAAGCTTGATAGCCCTTCATCCAAGCATACTTTTATTCAGAAGAAGTCATTCAAAGATTTTTAATATATGTGACCATTGATACCTTGAATAAATATCAAGGTTATTAATTTTAACAAAATTGGTAGCCCTTTATCCCAACATGCAAATGGCCAAATATCAACATTCTGGGCCTTATGGTTATTAAGAAGAAGTTGTTGAAAGTAAAATATTGACGACGGACGACACGTCACGGCATAAGCTCACTTGGCCCTTCACAGGTTTGAAAAGTTAATTACAGGCGAAACTGAAAAAGGGGACATTGAAGGTGAATGCAGGTTATAGGACTGTCCTGGTTGAACTTTCATGGTCAATAATTCCAGAGCAGCTGTTGATTTTCTCCTGCAAAGCTATCTTCTTTTCCCTGTAATCTTTTATATTCAGATACTTTTCCTTCTCCAAAAGAAAAAACTCCTATTGGTGGTCGCCTGTACTGTCATTGTTACCTGTAAATAAAGTGTTTTGACTTATAACTGTACTGATTACACTTATACTGTATTTTATATATTTAAATCCATCAATGAATGATTGTCACAAGGTAAAAAGAAAATATTTGGCATCTCTCTCTCTCCTAAGAATGTATGCAAACATACATAGAGATTTCTTCCTACTCTTCTTGAATTGAAGACTGGGTAGACAATTTGGTCTGTTAGCCTCTTCCACTCTTGTATTAAACAATATTGAAGTTTTATGACTGAAAGAAGAAAGGGAAATCAGTGTCCATAAACATGTCCATCTACACAGGTATTGTCCAACAAACTGATTCCAATATACCCTCAACCAACTGTGTAATCCGGGGTAAGAGGCTATAGTTACACTTACTTGAACCCTGATAGGTCAACAAGGACCTTGCCATGCGCCTGGATATAATTGCTATGATCTATTTTTAATAACAGTGACCTTGACCTTATACACTTTTTTTAAAATTCCTATTGCATCTACATATATCACAGTGTATCGCCATGTCAGACAGACACACAGATGGACACCTTGTTTATGTTAGGGCACCCACATCTCCAATGTGGGACCTTCATAAGAGACCACCAGTGGTGTTTTTGAAGTTTCAACAAAGCCTGCTGGCAGTTTAGAAGAATTTAAAAAAATGTATAGATAAATGGACAGAAAGAGACTTTAACAGTTCGCTAAAAAGTAAAATAAAAAAACAAGCTTTGTTACCGGAGCAACTGCTGACTGCTGCTTCCTCCTCTGTAGGAAAGTAATGAAGTTAAAGATTAACAGAATGTACTAATTGTGTTTACTTCTATTTTCAATTTTGTCGTTCCTTTAAAAACCAAGGATTTAATTAGATATATTTTTGTTTTCGAGGATGCAATGCAAATGTTATAACAAGTGCTGTCTCTTATTTATAGTACATGTATTTGAACAGTAATAACATTAATATTATGACCATTAAGGTATGAATATGTACATGAAATAGCAAACTTATACTGATTAACTTTTATAAAACAATTCTTCAATAACACTCTTATAAATATGATACCATTAGTAACTGAACACCAAAATAAACCGTTTTAAAGAATATCTGATACCCGGTAAGAGAGATATTGAATTTTGGGACCCATTATATGTGTCAATTTACGCATAATATACTCGCCAGTGTACAATATAAACAATATACATAATATACTTGGTATAAAACAGCGCCAGCTTGGAGCTTCACTTGCCTCCAATACTGATGTACCCTCTGAAGAAAAGGATTTTTTTAGGCAATAGAGCACAACAAAATAAATTTCGACCCGCCCCTTTTCACCTGGAGGGGTCACACCCTCCAATTATACAAAATTGTAATCCCCTTTACCAAAGGATGCTCTAGACCAAATTTGGATTAAAACATCATTCCAATGGTACAGATGAAGAATGATTTTGAAGAGATAAACCCCAAATGTTTAGAAAATGTGCACAAATATTTCAATCATCTGTTAATAAGTTTTGTTAAGACGGATCAACAAAAAGACAAAGAAGGATGTTTGTTGTTTTCATACCTTTCTCCAATGCTGTAAGACTCGATGCTTTTTTGGTCTGTTGCACAGCTGTGTCGACACCTCCTACAACCCCTTCAACAGCACTCCTTGTAAATATTCCAATAATCTATATAAAGACATATTTAAGTTTTTCAATATACATTTTGCCAACACCCTGAAATAAATACCCTAACTCAAAATTGAATCCCCCCCCCCCCCCCCCCCCCCCCCCCCCTACCTACGTACCCAAAGTGATAACGGGAAATATGTCTGTTGCTAGTTTGTTGTTGTGATGGGTTTACTCACTATTTTTTCCCAGGGCTTTGCATCATCTTCCATGTATGGACCCCCACCAGTAGCCTGTCGCTCCCGTATCCTTTGTGCTTCTTTTCTTTTAGTGAGGCTGCTAATATCCTGCCACTTCTTTTTCACATCACCAACATCTCTGTTGGTTTCAGTGCTGTTGGCAGCATTTACTCTGAAACAGTTAATTTATATCTTATATGTTAAACACAGAAGAGTACCACATATGCTTATACCATATGACTCTATAACAAGAGGCCCAAAGGGCCTGTATCCCTCACCTAGATCTTTATGCCATGCAATCATATATATGGCTATGGGTTCAGGACCACAACCATTTCAAAGTTATGAACAAATAATTAAGTCCTTGAAGAGGGGCCAGACCCAAGGGTCAATATAAATATCATGATTTAGTTTATCTCTTGATGCCCAGCAATGGTATATATGGTTATGGGTTGAGGATTTCAATTGTTTCAAAGGTATAGCTCGGGCATTAAGTCCCGATGAGTTGGACCAGTTCCCAGGGTCAACTTTTAAAATATAATTGATGGCATGTTGATGCTCAGCAATTGTATACTTGGATTTGGATCTTGATAATGTCAAAGTCAGAAATTATTTTAGCCTAGCCCCTCACTTTCCCTAAGAGTTCATTTATACAATTTTGAATCCCCACCACCTAAGCATGCTTCCAACCAAATATGGTTGATATCGATTATGAAAAGAAGTTATTTTAAGCAATATGGCCAAATTAATCCTTTCTGGTCCGGCCCCTCAGCCCCTCCATTTATACAATTTTGAATCCACACCACCTTGGCATGATTCTAGTCCAATTTGTTGAATTCTAAACTGCGGATAAGGAAAATAAGTCGTTTGAAGAAATTGTTAGCAGATGGAAAGACAGCGGAGGGACAGATGATAGACCCCACAGTATGGCATTAAAAAATTGGTTAGTCCAGAGATAGTAGTATATATACATGTACCTCTCTAGTTACTCTGATATTACTTTTTGTTATACAATATACAATTGTACATGAATACACAACATTCAGTACATGTACATGTTGATGGCTGATTTAGAAAATACTCCCCCTTGAAATTATTTGATTTTATTGCAAAAATGGTACAGAAGAAATGTTCTTTTCATCAAATTGTAAACCTGGAAATCTTATTCGCACGAAAGGTATAAACTGATTTGATTACATTAAAATTCAATGTGACACTAGCTATATGTTATCTCCACGGTAACAATCTTTACCTGAATATTTGTCCTTAGTTTTTGACTGGTGCATGATTCTATAGGTGTGTGTGTTACACTACCTAAGACTCTCAAATGGTTTACAAACTAGGTGTTAAAATATAGTTGACACTAATTCATAGCCCATCCCAGCAACAATTAATGGGTCAGTGGAACCATGATAGAGCCTTTTGTACCTGTAGGTCAGTGGTCAATAATAATAACCACACCTTGGGCACAGGTGCTACAATGAAAGAACTTAAAGGTGTTTGCAAAAGGAAATTAATTATCACTTTACGCATCAATGAATAACTCTGTGGGAGATTATCTTACCTAACCAACTTACAGTACCACTACTAGCACTAGGAGTTTATTTTGATTGGACAATGAACATTTATATTTTTTAGTCATTTTAAATTTATTCTGAGATTTATTTTTATGATACACTTTCATGTCGTTAAGTTTATTTTCTTACAAGAAACTTATACATTTACAGGATCATAATTAATCTTTAGTTACTTTTTTTATTAAGCTAACTATAAATAAAAAATAAACAAAGAGATCCATTAAAAAACAGTGCCATCCCCTGAAACAATCTGGATCTGCCCCTATTATGCTTAATTCCCCCTTCCACCAATACCGTCTACTCTTTAACTCCAGTGCGTTTGTTTACAACTGTACTGTATCGATAAAAAAAATCTTCCTAGCCTTATGAAATACAGTCCATTATTATGACTAAATACTTGACATTTTAGGAGAAACCCATGACAGGGCTGCAAACAAAATCAAAAACAAATATCGTACTGTATTACTGTAGCCTAGACATAGGGATTCGTTACAAATGTCTTATACACATATGCTGTACTGATTTGGGTCACATCACGCATATACATAACATACTGTATGTGTATTAGTATCAAATACGTGTGACGAACAACCCTGTGGACTAACCGTTACTGAAATAGTGGTAGACAAATTACAAAAGAAATGTATAAAAAGGGTTAGTCCTAAATAACTGACTCTCATTTATTAACATTGGTGGGTTTCTGTCCCGTCAAACATTTTTAACGGGAGACTAATTATTTCGGACTACTGTCAAAAATGCTGTATGTGAATGGGGTCCGTACGTACGTACGTCTCTTCTGTATTGTACTTACCATGAGGTTATCTCCAACCAACACTTGTTCTTCATGTCATTTGTTAGTGAAACGAGAAACGCGTGTTACGACTGCGCAAGATGCGATAAGGTCGTTGTGAGGAAGCTTTTTATCTAAAGTCAAATCGTAAGTGTGTTCGTAAAGAAAAATCCTAAGGTTTGTCTTAAGACTACTTTCGTGAAACTGACTTACGAATTCCCTTACGATAATCCTAACTCAAAATCTTACGACAAATCGTAAGATTTTTAGCTCACCTGGCACAAAGTGCACATAGTCAAGGTCACAGGGGTCAAATATGTTAAAAACTTTAAACAACTTGTTGGCCAGTAGCATGCTGAGATAAAGGGCTACAAAGTTTGTTCAAATAAATGACCTTCAATTATATTCAAGGTCACAGGGGTCAATTGTCTTAAAAAACATTTAAAAAGACTTATTCTCAAGAACCAAAATGCCCAGGGTGATGATGTTTGGCCAGAAGCATGCTGGGCTAAAGGGCTATCAGGTTTGTTCAAATGAATGGCCTTCACCCATATTCAAGGTCACAGGGGTCAAATATGTTAAAAACTTTAAACAACTTCTTCTCAATAACCAAAATGCCCAGAGTGATGATATTTAGTCAGAAGCATACTAGGATCAAGGGCTACCAAGTTTGTTTAAATGTATGACCTTAAATCATATTCAAGGTCACAAGGAGCAAATATGTTCAAAATATTTAAACAACTTGTTCTGAATAACTTAAATGCTTAGGATGTTGATATTTAGTCAATAGCATGCTGGGATCAAGGACTACTATGTTTGTTAAAGTGAATGACTTTGACTTATATTCAAGGTCACAGGGGTCAAATTTGTTAAAAATCTTTAAACAACCTCTTCTGAAATATGTTCAAAATAGTTAAACAACTTGTTATGAATAACTTAAATGCTTAGGATGTTGATATTTAGTCAATAACATGCTGGGATCAAGGACTATTATGTTTGTTAAAGTAGGATGTTGGTACTTTGCAAGTTGCATCCTGAGATGAAAGGCTATAAAATGTGTTCAACATAATGACTTTGTTCGACTTTCAATCACAGGGGTGAAATGTTTAAAAATAAAGAAGGTTCTTTTGAATGAATTTTAATCATAAATACTGATATTTTGCCTGTAGCTTTATTTTAGATCACTTTTAATGTTACAAGTAAGAGATTTATACCAGGTGAGCGATGCAGGCCCATTGGGCCTCTCGTTTGTTAAAAAAACTCACTTGAGAAAAGGGAGTAGATTAATTGCACACGTTTATATCCCCTATATTGTAAATAGTTTTTTTGTGAGCCAGAAGGTGTTATTCAGACCACGTAGTGTGTATTTACCGTAGCCTGGGGGTTTGGTGATGTTGTGTATTGTGACTGTTTCATGTTGAACTTTTTGTTCCTGGTCATAATGGCAGTTGTTATGAGGTTTAGTTTTGAACTTTGTGTTCCAAACTTGATTATATAATGTAAACATAAATAATTGAGGACGGTGTGTTCAATGCTAGAACTGTGTGTCCAATGCTATCGGCTACACCGATGTTATAGTGAGAACTGTGTGTTCAAACCTGATTGTAGTGTAGGTGTAACCGCAATATGTCATTACAAATATACAACAAAATAGTCCAATCAGGTATGGTTTTATCACACCAAACATTTTATGTTGAGAAAGGCCAATGTCTGCAGGGTTTAATGTTGCTTTAGTTATTTTTCGTCGAAAATGTCTTCATTCAATTACCTGATACTTTAACCATGCGGAGAAAAAAATTGAAATAATTGCGAGAAGATAGAGTTGTATTATCTGCTGCCAGAATTTCTTTCAGTGTTAAATTGGCATCACGCTGAAGTACCTTTTTTTTGTGTCTTTTGTTTATATACTACATAAACATATCAAGTGAGACTCCTTATGGAAAATAACGATCGGATTTGGCTGAAATAGATTCATAAAAATGATTAAATCTAAGATAATCATCGGTATTTCTACCTGTCTGACCAACGTTATGTGCAGAGATTTCCCTCTACTAGCGCATGTGCATAGTACACCATTTCTTTGTAAACAAAATGACTGGCCGTGTGAAGTAAGCGAAAGAAAAGTGTTGTACCGTGTCAGCTACGAAGCGAAAAGCTGCCAAATGGTCAAAAGATAGCGCAAGGGGTACGTTACGGAATCATTATTGCCAGTGGGAAGTAGTCAAAGCAGAAAATAACTGCCCTATCAGTTAGTACGGTGTATGTATTCTTCCGGATAGCCAGTTAAGCTGAAATGAAATCGACAGAAATGCTAGCGCTGTTTATGTTATGAATAAATATCTAAAACTATTACCCTCGCTAGTATCATTGTGTGAGTTTGAACACAGATGAACTTAGTTTAATATGTTAATGGGCATGTATCGGAGAGAGTTTACTTTGTGTTTCTATAATTATACAGTGGTTTATGCGAAAGGAAGGGATAAGTGACTGGTTAGTTTGATTTTGCCATGATGCCCTCTAAGGGATAACTGTTGTGATGGCCACGGCGTATTCTGTTTCCTCCTCTGTCGGTACTCGGGGTCAAATAAGATTAGGGCTGTAACGATACACCTATGCCACGATACGATACGTATCACGATATCTACCCACGATACGATACAGAAATGTTATGCTTCCTCTTCAAATGCGTCGCCATGTTTGATGTGTTCCCCGACTTGTAACTTAAAGCTACGAAATATATGCGGAAAGTGGAGAGTGCTGCTTCATTGATTGTACATTATGTAAAGGGACACCACTGCTGAATTA